TAGCTTTACAGCGAGATCATAGATTGCCAACATTTTAACTTATGCCAAACGGGTCGTATGCAAAGAGGTATTTGTCGTTATTCCGTTTGATGTTGTTGTTATGTAGTACAAGCCTTGAAAGTCTGGAAAAAGGGTTCAGTAAACACTTTCAGTTACAGTACACTGCTAGTGCAACCTCATCCTTGACTCAAAATTCCGATATATCGGTTTTACGGTCTTAAGAGAACGGTTGCTGCGATTCTTGTCATGAAGTGCTTATTGTGTTGAAACTGACTAGAGTTTGTTCCAATTAGAGCTGCTTCACAAACCGACACATGCAATTCACTAAAGTGACTTACATTCAGAGTCGTTTCATTATTTTATGTCAACAAGAATTTGGCCACGTCTGCATGGAATTTGATCACATACAGTATGTTGACTCAGAACAACACCAAAATGTTGACTGTTATTATAGATGCCAGGGGCTGTAGCACAGATCTTGTTCGTTCAACCATCGAATGTGCCCGTGGCATCAGTGAAAATATGCTTGCCTATTGAGCATTATCCCTAAATATAAATTTCTTCAACTCTTAATCCACAGTTCACGGAAATAGTTTAGAAGGAAGGGATAAAATCTCAGTGACGGCTTTCGACTTCAAACACCAACGTCATGACGAATAAAAAAGAATACAAGCAATTTGTCCTCCAGTTCAGTAAGCAGTACAATTTCCCTTAACCAACGAAGTCATCGCACTGTTGTTCGATAAAATCAGCTGAACAGATGGCAGCAAATTACTGACCTGCAGATATTAGGAGAGAAAAGAATGTGGTACATGGTATATCGGCAGCATATTATATTTTATATACGAGATTATTTTGTACTTTATATTTTAGAATTGTGCGATTGGCAATCCGCTGCTTTGCCGACCTGCTGTTGATTACCTGAATAATAGTTACAAAATCATTCTGGTCGGAATCCCTAACTGTGCCACGTTGGAGTACACACCGATTTTCAATTATAATCAGCCTCTTAACAAATTACGGTACTTAATGAACGTTCCAAAACCCGATGATGTTTACGTGATGTCAGAATCAGGAACGATGTTCGAAATAAAGGGAAAGGTAATTATAAAATTTCTGATATCTGCGAACGTGTACTCTGGCCTTTCTTAGTTTGTCACACCTCTGGCAGACTGGCCAACTGACCCTCTCGCAGCATCGCCAATGATGGAAATGACTGCATTCAATATAAATTCGAGCGAAGCCAAATGCATGGGCTTCACTTTTCGGGCGGTGTATCAGAAAGACTATTACATTGTCTTCCCTCGCTACTGCATGAGCAAGACGTAAGTTTTTTACGTATAATTCCGGAGGACATAACCGTTATTCAGTGATAATAACTACCGGTTATTATCTAGGCCGGTCTAGACAAATTAATGTAATCAGATAACGTCAAGACTATGCAGATATATTTCGTGGACGCTGACGAACACGCGATAACTTTGATATTTCTAAAGTCTTATAAACCGTGCTGAGAGTAGCCGGCAAGACTCAATTCAGCGAATGGTTGAGCGACCATGAAAAATATGGACGATTGCTGGCTTTTCATCCAGTTCATAACCAAAGTGTCTCTCTTGCGAAATGATGAAGCGCATCCCGAATCACTGAAGCATCTACACTCTTCTCATCGGAACATGCCTGATCCGCTGGGCCAAGCTGAAGGAAAACAATGGGTGTAATC